GCAGACAGAAAGACAGGCAGACAGAAAGACAGACTGGAAGACATACATACATATATACATACATACAGACAGACAGACAGACAGACAGACAGACAGACAGACAGACGGGCTGTCAGACAGACAGGAAGACAGACAGACAGACAGACAGACACTTACATTCCCTTCTTCCATTCTGTGCTATCATCGTTCCATTCGTAGGGCATCAGTCGGTTCTGACTGTCGAGCTTTGCGAAGGCGTATACGATGTGAGTGCAGTGGCTGGCGTTGATATTTTCCGGGAAATACTGGCCGATACCAGGCCGGTACTGAGCCCAGTTGGTATAGTAACATACGACACGTTTGCAGGTGTCTGAAAAGTGGAAAAGATTCACAGACGTACTTTACTTTACTTTTATCCGCCGCTTATACCCTTTTGGGTGTTGCGGGAAGAAAGAGACTTCTCTCTGTCGCCAGCCGGAGAGCTTGGGACAGGGGGATGCCGTGGATGGTTAAAGATTGGCAGACAAAGAGACAAATTGATTTAATGCTTGTCAAAAACAGGTTGATTGATTTATTGATAAATTAACCCTTTTATTGATCGATTGGTGGATGGAATGATTGAGTGATTTATGAGGTAGAAAACGATTACGACATGTACATGAAAACTGCTGATGGCATGATGCGGAAGTTGCGTTTTTTTAAAGTGGCAAAAATCTTGTTGTTGGAGGGACGTATAATGCATTGGACGGACAGCAACTATGAAGAAAGAGAGAAAGATAGAAAGAAAGGAAGAAAGAAAGGAAGAAAGAAAGAAAGAAAGGAAGAAAGAGAGAAAGAAAGAAAGAAGAAAGAAAACAGGAAAAGAAAGAAAGAAAGAAAGAAAGTAAAAAAGAAAGACAGAAAGAACGAAAAGAAGGGAATAAAAAGGAAAGAACGAAAAGAAAAGAAAAAAAAGAAAGAAAGAAAGAAAGAAAGACAGAAAGACAGAAAAAAAGAAACCTATAATAGTCGCTTAATTATTACCATTTGGAGCTCTAGGAGAAAAGATTGGCACGCCCGGGATCTTCGCCGTCCCCCCTGTTGATCCTCCACCACCAGTGGTGCCTCCTCCGTTGTTGCCACTCCCACCTCCTGTTGTGGATCCGCCTCCCCCGCCTGTGTTGTCCCCGCCCCCATTTGTAGTTCCACCATCATTGTTTCCTCCTGAACCAGTAGACCCGCCCCCTCCGTTGCCGGTGCCTGTTGATCCTCCCCCTCCACTACC